TTTTTGTCCATGTTCCTGCATACGTTTTTGCGCATGTTCCTGCATATATTTTTGTCCATGTTCCTGCATGTGTTTGTGCATATGTTTTTGTCCATATTTGTGTATTTGTTTGCGTCCATGTTCGTGCATATGTTTTTGTCCATGTTTGTGCATATACCTGGTTGATGGGGTTCTGGGAGTTCTTCTACTCCCCAAGCCCGGCCCGAGGCCAGGCTTGACTTGTGAGAGTTTGGTCCACCAGGCTGTTGCTTGGAGCGGCCCGAGGCCAGGCTTGACTTGTGAGAGTTTGGTCCACCAGGCTGTTGCTTGGAGCGGCCCGCAGGCCAGTCTTGACTTGTGAGAGTTTGGTCTACCAGGCTGTTGCTTGGAGCGGCCCGAGGCCAGGCTTGACTTGTGAGAGTTTGGTCCACCAGGCTGTTGCTTGGAGCGGCCCGCAGGCCAGGCTTGACTTGTGAGAGTTTGGTCCACCAGGCTGTTGCTTGGAGCGGCCCGAGGCCAGGCTTGACTTGTGAGAGTTTGGTCCACCAGGCTGTTGCTTGGAGCGGCCCGAGGCCAGGCTTGACTTGTGAGAGTTTGGTCCACCAGGCTGTTGCTTGGAGCGGCCCGCAGGCCAGTCTTGACTTGTGAGAGTTTGGTCTACCAGGCTGTTGCTTGGAGCGGCCCGAGGCCAGGCTTGACTTGTGAGAGTTTGGTCCACCAGGCTGTTGCTTGGAGCGGCCCGAGGCCAGGCTTGACTTGTGAGAGTTTGGTCCACCAGGCTGTTGCTTGGAGCGGCCCGAGGCCAGGCTTGACTTGTGAGAGCTTGGTCCACCAGGCTGTTGCTTGGAGCGGCCCGCAGGCCAGGCTTGACTTGTGAGAGCTTGGTCCACCAGGCTGTTGCTTGGAGCGGCCCGCAGTCCAGGCTTGACTTGTGAGAGTTTGGTCCACCAGGCTGTTGCTTGGAGCGGCCCGCAGGCCCACATATACCTGCTTGATGGGGTTCTGGGAGTTCTTCTACTCCCCAAGCCCGGCCCGAGGCCAGGCTTGACTTGTGAGAGTTTGGTCCACCAGGCTGTTGCTTGGAGCGGCCCGCAGGCCCACATATACCTGGTTGATGGGGTTCTGGGAGTTGTTCTACTGTCCAAGCCCGGCCCGAGGCCAGGCTTGACTTGTGAGAGTTTGGTCCACCAGGCTGTTGCTTGGAGCGGCCCGCAGGCCCACATACCCACCACAGCCCGGTTGGTCCGGCACTCCTTGGAGGAAACTATCTAGTTTTCACTTGAAGATGTCCACTGTTGTTCATTTGGGGACACTGACCTGTAGTGTATGCATGTTTGTGTGTGTATTTTCGTGTGTGGGAATGTGTGTGAGTATAGTGTGATGATGATGATGAAGATTAAGCCACCTAAGAGGTGGCACGGGCATGAATAGCCCGTAACAAGTATAGTGTGCTCTCATATATATATATATATATGCATACACACGAAATGTGTACACAGGAGACATCTCCCGTCACGCAGGGTGCAGTCGCACCTCCACAGATCTCCAGTATCATCTATTGATACTGGAAATGGCTCAAAAGGGCCACCACTTATGGGCTATTCATGCCCAAGCCACCTTTTGGATGGCTTAATCTTCTTTCTCTCTCTCGTGTGTTGTGAGGTGTGGAGATAACGCGGGCACTCTCCCGCCAGGTGCGGTGTGCCTCACGCTCATTAAATAAAAATAAATTAAAATTAAACTGCTGGCATCCTTTGCTGTATGAACAGCTGCAGGAAAACAAGATCCATTAAACAATTAAACAATTAAACAATTAAACAATTTACTTAATAAAAAATATATCCAAAGAACAAATAACAAATCCTGACCACTTGGCATAACACAAAGCAAAAGCAAAGTGAACATAATAATTACGTTATTTTACAATAATGGTGATTATACGAAATTTACAAGAGGCTGTGCTTCCTCCGTCACACGTCGTAGATGAAACCCCATCGCGTGAGGGACAACGTACGTGCCCAGTGAGCAAAAGAGGCACTCTGAGTGCTGGGTACTAATACTAATATACACAGGATAAGACACCCCGGGGGGCGAGCTTTGAAGTGGAGAACAGAAACAGAGGAAAGGGGGGTGAGAGGAAGTACATTTATAGGAGAAAAAAGTGCTAGGGTTAAAGCAAGTTGGGTGCCGTTAGGCTGCGGCATTTGTGGCAAGTACTCGGTCGGGTGTTTGAGAGCCAACATCAGGGACGTCACAAAACTCGCATCATCGCAGTGATTGGCTCAGAAGCGTCAGGACTGAACGTTTACGGATGGTTTGTGCTGGGTGTTGAGAACTGTATATCTATAGATGGCGGGTGCTTGATGTTGAGCGCTAAACTTTCCTTCACTTTCTAGTGTGTGGTTTGGTCAACATATTTCAGCCACGTTATTCTGACTCCTCGTCTGTATTGAGAGCTAAAGTTTAACGAAATAGAGAGTTAGGAGGAGGATCACGATGGTGGAGAAGATGACGATGATGGATGATCGTGGGTGCCTAAGAGTGTGTAAGAGAAAGTCAATGTGTTGTTCGTGATAAGAGAGTAGTCTATCAAGCTGTTTGTCTAATAAAGTTTTCCAGTAGACATTGAGGGCAGGAATGTTGGTACTTTCATGAAGACTTTCGCTGGTATTGAAGTCGTTCCATCAGGTGTTGAGTACCCATCTAAGTGCTCTGTTCTGTATTCTCTGAAGATTTAGTTTATTAGTGGGTGCGGCTAAGGAAAGAGCTATTGGAGCATATGTTAGGAGAGGTCTTGTGAGTGCTTTGCATAGGTACATTTTAGTATCAGGTTTAGCAAATCTAAGTCTGTATAATTTGGGCCTGGTGAGCTATTGCATGTTTCTGTGCAATGTGTGTTTGAAAGAGTAGTTGTCGATCAAGCGTGAGGTAAAGAACTGTTGTGGAAGGAGATACAGAAATGTTAGAAGGATTAGGAGAGAGTGAATAGAGTCGAACAGGAATAGGCCGTATAATTCTTTTACACAAAAAAAAAATAGGTGATTTTTGATTTGTTGGAGTTGGTTTTAATGCGTCGGTTATACTCCCATTCTGTGACAGTATCGAGTTCTTCTTGTGCTGTGTGTGATAGTGTGATAATGGTGTTGCTGGTGACACGGTGAGAGACATCATCAGCGTAGCAGATGGTTCATGAAGTGTGATGAATAGGGTCACAAATGTCATTATTCAACGCAATTCACACAAAATAATTAAATCAAAATGAAAATAAATCAAAATCTATGAACATTTAATGTATCAATGTAATCAGAAACATTGAAATGGAATTGTAACATATATAGTATAGCGTGTGTGTTGCTCTTACATGCAACAGATGGCGCTGTTTTTCATGAAAAACATAGTTTTACCTGTCACAGGTGTGGCATCTATACTTATACCAACCCGTTCTCGCAAATTCGTAAAGTCAATATTGACTTATTAACTACGTGCATAGGTGATATACTAAACATAATAGATACCCTTAAAAATATTCATAGAAAACACCGACCTTACCTAACCTTGTTAGTATCTTAAGATAAGCATCTTATTGCTTCGTAATTACAATTATTACTTAACCTATACCTATTATAGGTTAGGTAATAATTGTAATTACGAAGCTATAAGATGCTTATCTTAACATACTAACAAGGTTAGGTAAGGTCGGTGTTTTCTATGAATCTTTTTAAGGGTATCTATTATGTTAAGTTATACTTACGAAATGAACGGTATGGTAAACAACACAGCTGAATTCCAACAAAATGTCACGCAAAATAATTCAATCAAAAATAAAATAAATCGAAATCTATGAAAATAAAATTTATCAATGCAATCAGAAACATTGAAATGGAATTCGTGACATATTTATTATAGCGTGAATGTTGCTATTATGTGCAACAGATGGCGCTGTTTTTCAAAAACGCATGTTTTTATCTGTCACAGGGGTGGCATCTATATAGTAGGCATATAAAAAGACGCGCCTGTTCGAATGCAACGTTGTGTCAAAATTTCAAAGCAATCGGTAAAGAGATTTCGAAGATTTCCTTCACATGGAAAAACACATGAAAAACACAGTTTTTCAGAAAAAAACATGTTTTTTTACCGTCACAGACGTGACATCTATATAGTATGTATATTAAAACCTGGCCGGATGCGAATGGAACATTGTGTGAAAATTTCAATGCAGTCGGTGAAGAACTTTCGGAGATTAGCGATTTTGAACAAACGAACATTTACATTTTTATATATATACATATATGTATATATATATGTCGTACCTAGTAGCCAGAACGCACTTCTCAGCCTACTATGCAAGGCCCGATTTGCCTAATAAGCCAAGTTTTCCTGAATTAATATATTTTCTCTATTTTTTTTCTTATGAAATGATAAAGCTACCCATTACATTATGTATGAGGTCAATTTTTTTTTATTGGAGTAAAAATTAACGTAGATATATGACCGAACCTAACCAACCCTACCTAACCTAACCTAACCTATCTTTATAGGTTAGGTTGGGTTAGGTAGCCGAAAAAGTTAGGTTAGGTTAGGTAGGTTAGGTAGTCGAAAAACAATTAATTCATGAAAACTTGGCTTACTAGGCAAATCGGGCCTTGCATAGTAGGCTGAGAAGTGCGTTCTGGCTACTAGGTACGACATATATATATATATAATATATATATATATATATGTACCATCACCCCACAATGACGGGAAAGTCTTTCTCAACTCATTCAACCATGCCAGAGTGTATTCAAGTTATGGGATCAACTATTTCATTTATTCCAGGTTAAGGCTCTGAACATACAGTATAAAAACCCCTAGCAAGAGCTTTTGGAAATTGAAGTATATATAAAAATATGTAAATATGTGTGGGGGTATGTGTTGGGGGGGAAGGGAGTGACCAGATACTGCGAGTGGGGTAGGGGTTTGGGGTTTGGGGTGGGGGGTGAGAGGCAGGCAGCAAGAGAACTAATTGTATCGTTGGTATATCTGGCAGGCGGCCTTGTCCCACCCTGTCAGTGTGCCTTGCTCAGTGTCCGAGGACGCTCCTTCCCGCCTCCCACCGGGCCTCCACAACCTCCACGTTTACAACCTCCAGCAATTACTCCAGTTGGCCCTAGAGTTCCTGAGTCGCGGATCCTGATCATGGTGAATATTTTGATGTTGTGGTAATGGATTAGTGGGAGTATTTAGTGGATTAGTGTGAAACTTTATGCTGGAGGTGATAGGGGTGTTGTGAGTTAGTAAAAGAGGTTGGTGTTTTCTGTCATATATGTGTCATGTGACTATATATGTGTCGTATACATGGTATGTATATGTCATATAACTATACTTTCCTACGCTTGTGGAGTCCCGTCATACCAGGATTGTCATATAACTCTGAACTCTTGATTGGTTTGGTCTCCATCGCTTTTCATTCAACGTGTTCCAACCATTTACCATTGTGCGTGTGCGTGTGCGTGTGCGTGTGCGTGTATATCAGCGTGCGAGAGATGGACTGCCACTCCTTGGCATCGCCTGATAATCTAACTTCAGCTCTTGCGTGTTTATATATATTATGTGTATTAGGGAATACAAATTATTCATGCATTGTTGCGGGCTAATTGCAAGGTTATCGGGCATCAACTGATTGGATATCTATAATACCTAAGCTCAAGCCAAGGTCACGGACGGAACAAAACTTGTCTTCAATCTATACAAATCTATTAAATTGGTACATTTAATAGAATAATAGATTTAATACACTTATTTGTGTGTGTGTATTTACTAAGTATGCCTGCCGGATAGAGCTGTTAGCTCTTGGGCCCCGCCTCTCTGTCAGGCTGAAAATGACCAAAATATTATGAATATAGCTGATAGTTAAGCACTATTATCACCAAGCCTACTTGGTGATAATAGTAGATATTATATAATAGATATTACTACTTTACAGATAAGGGGCTAGTATAGCCTAGCATCACATTTAACTCGCATTATCTCGTGAAAAAATCAGCTGTCAACTGTTTTTTGATTGTTGACAGCAGGTCGATGTTCTGTCATACAGAACAATACATGTACAATACAGAACAACATTCGTTGTACTGTATTGTACACCTGTTGCACATCACACGTTCTCGAGTTTTATTTACTTTGGATCAAGTAGATATTTCTAGATGTGATGGATCGAAGCAGACATTAGAAAACGTACGATGGAGGACGTTTCGATCCGTCCTTGGACCAATATTAAGTCGACTGTTTATCAGTCTATTTTAGAGGCCATTGATAAGATGCTTGAAGAAAAATACAGCTGATATACATGATGAATGGTAGTAGTTCAGGGAAATCCCATTAACGTGATATATCACAGAATAAATCCAACAAAATCAATGAACTATGTTGTATTTGCACCACACTAAGGCTCCCGTTGGATTTGTTCAATAGCTAGACAGCCTTGACTACGACGCTAGCCTCCCTAGATGCCTCTTGAACATTCTATGAACAATTAATCCTACCATGGTCAGCATTTAACCATAGTTCACAGCCAGACTTTTTGAGACATTGTCGTCACCAACCTGACCTTCAACCAGGCATCAAGGTGACCTCACTCACCCTTGATGGTCTGACCTTCGTGGCTCTGATACCATCAGCAGAAATTGACTGATTGAGAAAGTCATGAGAAAAGATTGAGAAAAAGTTATGGAGAATGTAATGTGTAGCAGAACCTTTCTGGAATGTTGTGCTGCAATGTTTCTATGGCATGTTTTAATGTTTCAATGGTATCTCACTGCCTTAGTCATTGTAGTTTAAGATCTAGATGAAACGAGTCCAAGTTGTTAAAAAGCGTAGTGATGAGTAGTGATGCCTTGATTCATGTGATGAGTTGTGATCAGTTTTGATGCCTTGTCTCATGTGATGAGTAGTGATGATCTTGATTCATGTGATGAGTTGAGATGATCTTGACTCATGTGATGAGTTGTGATGCCTTGTCTCATGTGATGAGTAGTGATGATCTTGATTCATGTGATGAGTTGAGATGATCTTGACTCGTGTGATGAGTTGTGATGCCTTGACTCATGTGATGAGTTGTGATGCCTTGATTCATGTGATGATCTTGACTCATGTGATGAGTTGTGATGATCTTGACTCATGTGATGAGTTGTGATGCCTTGACTCATGTGATGAGTTGAGATGATCTTGACTCATGTGATGAGTTGAGATGATCTTGACTCATGTGATGAGTTGTGATGCCTTGACTCATGTGATGAGTAGTGATGATCTTGACTCATGTGATGAGTTGTGATGATCTTGACTCATGTGATGAGTTTTGATGCCTTGTCTCATGTGATGAGTTGTGATGATCTTGACTCATGTGATGAGTTGTGATGATCTTGACTCATGTGATGAGTTTTGATGCCTTGACTCATGTGATGAGTTGTGATGATCTTGACTCATGTGATGAGTTGTGATGCCTTGATTCATGTGATGAGTTGTGATGATATTGACTCATGTGATGAGTTGTGATGCCTTGACTCATGTGATGAGTAGTGATGCCTTGACTCATGTGATGAGTTGTGATGCCTTGACTCATGTGATGAGTTGTGATGCCTTGATTCATGTGATGAGTTGTGATGATCTTGACTCATGTGATGAGTAGTGATGCCTTGACTCATGTGATGAGTTGTGATGCCTTGACTCATGTGATGAGTTGTGATGCCTTGACTCATGTGATGAGTTGTGATGCCTTGACTCATGTGATGAGTTGTGATGATCTTGGCTCATGTGATGAGTAGTGATGACTCTTGACTCATCTTTATCGTACCTTCCTACTCCCAGCTTTATTGGAGTCTATTGTAAAGTAGTCTTATTACAATAGATTGCAATCTATCGTAAACTTACTGACGTTTTCAGGCAAGTACAGCAATACGTGAGACATGTGTGTGGGAGGAGGGGTTAAGACTCCCATGTTATAGCAGCATGGGAGATGTCAGACATATGGGTAGGTCTTCACTCCCATGTTATAACAAAATGGGACATGTCAGACATATGTGAGGTCTTCACTCCCATGTTATAACAACATGGGACATGTCAGACATATGTGAGGTCTTCACTCCCATGTTATAACAACATGGGGGATGTCAGACATATGTGAGGTCTTCACTCCCATGTTATAACAACATGGGGGATGTCAGACATATGTGAGGTCTTCACTCCCATGTTATAACAACATGGGGGATGTCAGACATATGTGAGGTCTTCACTCCCATGTTATAACAACATGGGACATGTCAGACATATGTGAGGTCTTCACTCCCATGTTATAACAACATGGGGGATGTCAGACATATGTGAGGTCTTCACTCCCATGTTATAACAACATGGAACATGTCAGACATATGTGAGGTCTTCACTCCCATGTTATAACAACATGGGGGATGTCAGACATATGTGAGGTCTTCACTCCCATGTTATAACAACATGGGGGATGACAGACATATGTGAGGTCTTCACTCCCATGTTATAGCATCATGGGAGATGTCAGACATATGTGAGGTCTTCACTCCCATGTTATAACAACATGGGAGATGTCAGACATATGTGAGGTCTTCACTCCCATGTTATAACAACATGGGAGATGTCAGACATATGTGAGGTCTTCACTCCCATGTTATAACAACATGGGGGATGTCAGACATATGTGAAGGTCTTCACTCCCATGTTATAACAACATGGGGGATGTCAGACATATGTGAGGTCTTCACTCCCATGTTATAACAACATGGGGGATGACAGACATATGTGAGGTCTTCACTCCCATGTTATAGCATCATGGGAGATGTCAGACATATGTGAGGTCTTCACTCCCATGTTATAACAACATGGGAGATGTCAGACATATGTGAGGTCTTCACTCCCATGTTATAACAACATGGGAGATGTCAGACATATGTGAGGTCTTCACTCCCATGTTATAACAACATGGGGGATGTCAGACATATGTGAAGGTCTTCACTCCCATGTTATAACAACATGGGACATGTCAGACATATGGGTAGGTCTTCACTCCCATGTTATAACAACATGGGAGATGTCAGACATATGTGAAGGTCTTCACTCCCATGTTATAACATGGGACATGTCAGACATATGGTAGGTCTTCACTCCCATGTTATAACAACATGGGGGATGTCAGACATATGTGAGGTCTTCACTCCCATGTTATAACAACATGGGGGATGTCAGACATATGTGAGGTCTTCACTCCCATGTTATAGCAACACGGGGGATGTCAGACATATGGGTAGGTCTTCACTCCCATGTTATAACAACATGGGGGATGTCAGACATATGTGAGGTCTTCACTCCCTTGTTATAACAACATGGGAGATGTCAGACATATGTGAGGTCTTCACTCCCATGTTATAACAACATGGGGGATGTCAGACATATGTGGAGGTCTTCACTCCCATGTTATAACAACATGGGGGATGTCAGACATATGTGAGGTCTTCACTCCCATGTTATAACAAAATGGGACATGTCAGACATATGGGTAGGTCTTCACTCCCATGTTATAACAACATGGGGGATGTCAGACATATGTGAGGTCTTCACTCCCATGTTATAGCATCATGGGGGATGTCAGACATATGTGGAGGTCTTTACTCCCATGTTATAGCATCATGGGAGATGTCAGACATATGGGTAGGTCTTCACTCCCATGTTATAGCAATATGGGAGATGTCAGACATATGTGAGGTCTTCACTCCCATGTTATAGCAACACGGGATATGTCAGACATATGTGAGGTCTTCACTCCCATGTTATAACAACATGGGGGATGTCAGACATATGTGAGGTCTTCACTCCCATGTTATAACAACATGGGGGATGTCAGACATATGTGAGGTCTTCACTCCCATGTTATAACAACATGGGGGATGTCAGACATATGTGGAGGTCTTCACTCCCATGTTATAGCATCATGGGAGATGTCAAACATGCTTAATAGGAGTCTCAAAGCATCTAAACCCTTCTCTAGTTTGCCTTTGTTTCCATATAGCCAAGATGCAGGGGGGGGGGGCCCTCATCTTGAGGTTATCTTGAGATGATTTCGGGGCTTAGCGTCCCGGCGGCCCGGTCCTCGACCAAGCCTCCTTTTTGTTACACAT